GGTTTGGTTATTTGGGGTGCTGATTCAGAAAATTGCATTGGATAGACTACATCAGCTCCAGTTTCTGATACAGAACATATGCCATCCATAGTCACCACCTGCTCGCCCGCAGAAAACCATATCTAATAAGCCTTGGCACTATAAAAGAGTTTCGTAAGACCAATCGCTTTTGTTGTAACGGTGTAGTAACGGTGAGACCACGGACCATATTTTAGTTCTTGGGAGCCACTGGTGGTCCACAGACCACAGGTTGGGATCCACTGGTCTACGCTGAAGAGTTAACACAGTTTGATACCATTTTAACTGCTATGGCTCAGTGCTATGGAATCCTGGGATTCGCAGTCTGGTGATGCATCAACAGTCTTTTGCAGAGAAGGACAAAGACCCTGTAAAACTACAACTCCTATAATTTCATAGCATTGAGCCATGGTAGTTAAAGTGATATTAAACTGTGTTAACTCCACACTGTAGATGCACCCTTATTATTTAACCAAAGGATCAGAAGAACTCGTTTTCACCCCAAGCTTCTAGGCAATCCACTCTCATTAATACTAATGAATACACACCCAGGCCAACCCATCCTCTTATTTACCTTATAAAGGATCACACCCATTACTTTATTAAATCTATTTTAATTTTATGGAATCCTTTCAGCATCCAGGTTCTCCTGTGAGCAACGCAGGTGTGTTGTTTTATTAAACTCACTCTCTTTTGAAGAAGAAGAAAAGGAGGGGAACATAATCAGGAAATTTGCTCCTTTTAGGGTAATACAAACACAGGAGGAAAAATCCAGAATGTTTGCAACCCAGTGCTTTTCTGTCCTTAGAACTGGGAACGGGCCGTGACACATTAGACCATTTTAATGGGACAAGTCTATTGTTGTATCCTCCGGCTCACAGAAACAATCCTTTCTTTGACGGATAGCATTTGAGGGCAGGAAGCTGCAATAGGAAGGGACACAAAGTCCATTCATTTCTGTACGTGTTGTTTTCCTTGATCGTTTCCTCTGCAAAGAGTCAAGGAAATTGTCCGAAAAAGACAATGAAACCCTTTCCTATGGCACCCTACAACCCATCTTTGCAAAATAGTACTTTTCAGAGAGGGGAAAGTTGGGCATTTAGTTGTAATACAACATATCTATGATCCAAAACAATAGAAAAGCTAGGTAATATTAAAAGGACGGGGAAAATTTATCTCATTGGTTTGCTGTAAGTTTTTCGGGCTGTATGGCCATGCTTCAGAAGCATTCTCTCCTGATGTTTCGCCTGAATCTATGGCACATCCTGTTGTCTCACCCTTGCTCTTAACTATGAGTTGTTTGTAAGTTGGATGTTTATAACTTGGGGGCTGTCTGCATTACCTATGAGATCTAATTTTATTACGAATCTTGGCAACGGAGAAAAGGAACTGGGTTGCTGTGAGTTTTCCGGGCTGTCTGGCCATGTTCCAGAAGCATTCTCTCCTGACGTTTCACCTGAATCTATGGCACTTCCTGTTGTCTCACCCTTGCTCTTAACTATGATTTGTTTGTAAGTTGGATGTTTGTAACTTGGGGTCTGTATTATCTATGAGATCTACTTTTATTACGAATCTTAGCAGAGAAAAGGAACTGGGTTGCTGTCAGTTTTCCGGGCTGCCTGGCCATGTTCCAGAAGCATTCTCTCCTGACGTTTCACCCACATCTATGGCAGGCATCCTCAGAGGTTGTGAGGTCTGTTGGAAACTAGGCAAGTGGGATTTATATATCTGTCAAATGATATATAAACTCTTGTCTGCTTGAGGCAAGTGTGAATGTTGTCTACCTTGATTAGCACTGAATAGCCTTGCAGCTTCAAAGACTGGCTGATTCCTGCCTTCCCAACAAAAGATTCCTCCAGGAATGATAGTAAATAGATAATAATGAGAAATAGAACTATTTAATATCTCTCAGAATATAAGTTTTTAACTTCATTTGCGTTTTTAAATACCCTCAATTCACTTCTCACATGATAAATAAATAGAATATATGATATTAATGCTCTATGATGTTAAATAGATATAGACCGATCTTTTTCATATGATGGGTTATATGATATTAATGCTCTAGGGAAATATGATATCAAATAGATATATAAAGAGATCTAGTTACCCTAAGGATATAATACACTGAATAGAGATACATATCAAACACTAAGCTCTAGGGATATATGAGATGAAGTAGAAAATAAATACATACACACAGATAGATCTACTTAACATTTCTAGGAATATATGATATTAAATAGGTAATAAAGCGATAGACAAATCAAGATATAGATCCGTTTAATGTGTTTTGGGAATATATTGATGCTCTAGGAATATATTTATTTATTTATTTATTTATTTATTTATTTATTTATTTAGTATATTTATATACTGCCTCTCTCAGCCTTCCGGCGACTCGGAGCGGTTTACAAGGCAAAAATTCAATTCATATATAATAGATATGTTCTCGGAATATACGATATATATGCTTTAGAAATATATATTTAATAGATAATATATACAGAGAACTATAGATAATCTATTTAATATCTTATATATATCAATGCTCCAGGGATATATGATATTAAATAGATCTATCTATAAAGATATATGATATTAATTAGAAAATAAATACATACACATAGATAGATCTATTTTATATCTCTAGGAATATATGATATTAGATCAATACGTTCTAGGAATATTTTATATTAAGTAGGTAATAAAGTGATAGATAAATAGCTAGAAGGACAGATCTATTTAATAACTCTTGGGATACCTATTGATGCTCTAGGAATATATGACATATATGCTATAGAAATATTTAAAATATACTATAGAGATAAATATTAAATAGACAACCTATAGAGAGATAAATATAGACAGATCTATTTATCTCTAGGAATGTATGATATTAAATAGGTAATAAGGAAAGAGAGAGATCTATTAAATCATTCTTGATAGATAGATAGATAGATTTATTTAATGCTCTAGGAATATAAAATATATAATAGATATTATCTAGGAAAATATTATATATGTTAGAAATATATGATATCTCTTGGGATACATATGAATGTTCTATTTCTATCCTATAGAAATATATATCTCTTGAGATATATATTAATGCTCTAAGAATATAAGATTTATATATATATATATATACACACACACACACACACACACACACACATACACACACACACACTCTAGGGAAATATGATGTATATGCTATAGAAATATATGATATTAAAATATTATATATATATATATAGAGAGAGAAATATAAATAGATCTATTTAATATCTCTTGGGATATATATTAATGCTCTAAGAATATAAGATATATAATATATATGCTCTAGGGAAATATGATGTGTATGCTATAGAAATATATATTTAAAATATAATATATATACAGGGAGAGAAGGAGAAATATAGAGAGATCTATTTAATACATCTTGGGATATATATTAATGCTCTAGGAATATAGGATATATAATAGATATGCTCTAGGGAAATATGATATATATGCTATAGAAATATATGATACTAAATAGATAATATATAGAGAGACAAATATAGATATCCCTATTTAATATCTCTTAGGATATATATATTGATGGTCTAGAAATATATGATATATAATAGATATGCTTTAGGGATATATATATATATATATATATATATATATATATGTCATAGAAATGTATGATATTAAATAGATAATATATAGATAAATATAGATAGATCTACTTAATATCTCTTAGGATATATATATTGATGCTCTAGGAATATATGATATATAATAGATCTAGGGAAATATGATATATATGCTATAGAAATATATGATATTAAATAGATAATATAGAGAAATATAAGTATAGATATATCTATTCAATATATTTTGGGATATATATATTGATGCTCTAGGAATATATGATACATAATAGATCTAGGGAAATGATATCTATATGCTATAGAAATATATATTAAATAGATAATACATAGAGATAAATATAGATATATCTATTTGCTATCTCTTGGGATATATATCGATGCACTAGGAATATATGATACATAATAGATCTAGGGAAATATGATATATATGCTATAGAAATATATTATACTAAATAGATAATATATAGAGAGATAAATATAGATAGATCTATTATTTACTTATTTATTTACTTTGCTTATATACCGCTGTTCTCAGCCCGTATATATCTTGGGATATATATTGATGCTCTAGGAATATATGATATATAATAGATCTAGGGAAATATTATTTATATGCTATAGAAATATATATTAAATAGATAATATATAGATAGATAGATAGATAGATAGATAGATAGATAGATAGATAGATAGATCTACTTAATATATCTCGGGATATATATTAATGCTTTTGGGATATATGATATATATGCTATAGAAATATATTATATTAAATAGATAATATATAGAGAGATAAGTATAGATATACCTTAGAAATGTATGATATATAGAGAGATAAATATAGATAGATCTACTTAAATATATCTTGGGATATATATTAATGTTCTGGGAATATATATCTTATGCTATATATATATATAGAGAGAGAGAGCATATGATATATATGCTATAGAAATATATATTAAATAGATAATATATATAGAGAGAAATGTAGAGATAACTATTTAATATCTCTTGTGATATAAATATCAATATTCCCCAGGGATATGTGGTATTAAATAGATCTATAGATAGCTCTATTTAATATCCCTAGGGATATCGGGTATTAAATAGATATTAAATAGATATATAGAGGGATGCATCTGTTTAATACCCCTAGGGGTATATTTTAGATAGACAAACAGGACACAAGGCTGTAAGGATCCCTCAGGCCACCCCTTTCCCCTGCAATGGGCTTTCCCTCCCCTCCACCCGTCTCTTCGGCCTTGGAAGAGACCATTCCACCAGGGCGGGGGTCCCCACTGGGTCTTTCCTTACCTATTCACCTCCCATTGTCCTCTTTCCTCCTCTGGCTGCCGAGAGCGGCCAAGCTGCCTCCTCCTCCACACGCCCCCTCCCACCGCCCTCTGCCGCGGAGCATCCTGGGAGGCGTAGTCCAGCGCTCTTATCACCCGCCGCATTCAGATAAGGAGAGATTCCCACCGCCTCCCTTCGCGCTGCATTGTGGGAAGTGTAGTCACAGCGCCTGCGTTCTGTGCCAACGCTGGGGCCTCTCTGAACTACAACTCCCATAGAAGAGTTGTATGATATTAAATAGATAATATATAGAGAGATAAATATATATATATATATATATATATATATATCCCTAAAGCATATCTATTATATATCATATATTTCTAGACCATCAATATATATATCCTAAGAGATATTAAATAGAGATATCTATATTTGTCTCTCTATATATTATCTATTTAGTATCATATATTTCTATAGCATATACATCATATTTCCCTAGAGTGTGTGTGTGTGTGTATGTGTGTGTGTGTGTGTGTTTATATATATATATATATATATATATATATATATATATATATATATATATATAATATCTTATATTCTTAGAGCATTAATATATATCTCAAGAGATATATATTTCTATAGGATAGAAATAGAACATTCATATGTATCCCAAGAGATATCATATATTTCTAACATATATAATATTTTCCTAGATAAAGTCTGACTTGGCCATGGTGGTACACGCTCTGGTCACATCCCGCCTTGACTACTGCAACGCTCTCTACGTGGGGCTGCCCTTAAAGACGGCCCGGAAACTTCAGCTAGTCCAGCGCGCGGCAGCCATGTTACTAACTGGAGCGGGATACAGGGAGCACACAACGCCCTTGTTGTCCCAGCTCCACTGGCTGCCGATTTGCTACCGGGCCCAATTTAAGGTGCTGGTGTTATCCTACAAAGCCCTAAACGGTTCCGGCCCAAAATACCTCTCGGACCGCATCTTGGCCTATGAGCCCACGAGGACCTTGAGATCGTCTGGGGAGGCCCTTCTCTCGATTCCGCCTGCCTCACAGGCGCGTCTGGCGGGGACGAGAGAGAGGGCCTTCTCGGTGGTGGCCCCCCGGCTGTGGAACACCCTCCCTGCTGACATCAGACAGGCGCCTTCCCTTCTGTCCTTCCGAAAGAGCCTGAAGACCTGGCTATTTGAGAAGGCATTCAATTGAGCGCTACGGCAACTGGTAATTGACAACTGGAACGGAATACGGATTACGATATTGGTTATGATTCTATGATGTGACGGAGCGGATTATTTAGTGTAACTAGATTATAGTGTATTATTGTTGTATTGATTTCCTGTTTTGCCCTTTTGTAAACTGTTTTTATATGTTGTGCACCGCCGCGAGTCGCCCTAGGGCTGAGAGCGGCGGTCAATAAATGCAGTAAATAAATAAATAAATAAATAAATAAATATATGTGTGTTGGGAATATATATATATATATATATATATATATATATATATATATATATATTAATACCCTAGGAATATATGATATATAATAGATCTAGTATATTAAATAGACATGAACCGGTGCCTGGCCGCTGTAACGTCTGGATGAGGGCGAACAAATTGAAATTGAATCCAGACAAGACAGAGGTACTCCTGGTCAGTCGCAAGGCCGAACAGGGCATAGGGTTACAGCCTGTGCTGGATGGGGTCGCACTCCCCTTGAAGGCGCAGGTTCGCAGCTTGGGTGTGATCCTGGATTCATCGTTGAGCCTGGAGCCCCAGGTCTCAGCGGTGACCAGGGGAGCATTTGCACAGCTCAGGCTCGTGCGCCAGCTGCGGTAGTACACGCTCTGGTCACATCCCGCCTTGACTACTGCAACGCTCTCTACATGGGGCTGCCCTTGAAGACGGCCCGGAAGCTCCAGCTAGTCCAGCGCGCGGCAGCCATGTTACTAACAGGAGCGGGACGCAGGGAGCATACAACGCCCTTGTTGTACCAGCTCCACTGGCTGCCGATCTGCTACCGGGCCCAATTCAAGGTGCTGGTGTTGGCCTACAAAGCCCTAAACGGTTCCGGCCCAAAATACCTGTCTGACCGCATCTCGGCCTATGAGCCCACGAGGACTTTGAGATCGTCCGGGGAGGCCCTGCTCTTGATCCCGCCTGCCTCACAGGCACGCCTGGCGGGGACGAGAGACAGGGCCTTCTCGGTGGTGGCCCCTCGGCTGTGGAACACCCTTCCTGTGGACATCAGACTGGCACCCTCCCTTATGACATTCCGCAAGAGACTCAAGACGTGGTTGTTCGAGAAGGCGTTTGAATAAGTGCTGCAAAAATTTGCAATGACGATAGGAACGGAACACGGAAAACGATATTGGGATTGTGGTTCAACGATGAGACGTCGCGAATGACTTGTTGTAATTGTATTATTGATTTTGATGTTGTTGTTTGATAATGTTTTTGATATTGCTAATTGATGTTAGTATATGTTGTAATTGCACCTTATTTTACATGTTGTACACCGCCGTGAGTCGCCCCAGGGCTGAGAATGGCGGTCTATAAGCACAGTAAATAAATAAATAAATAAATAATAGATCTATAGAGGGATGTATATATCTATTAAATAAATAAATTAAATGTGTGTGTGTGTATATGTATATATATGTGTGTGTGTGTATATATAAAATATCTATTAAATGTATTTATTATCATTATTATTATTATTAAACTTTATTTGTACCCCGCTAGCATCTCCCGAAGGACTCAATGCGGCTTACAAAGGCCAAGGCCTCAATACACAACATAACAGTACACCTAAATTAAAACAATTAAAGCAGTATTAAAACAACAAAACAACAAGCAATAAACAATACATCAAAACACGATAAAACTGGGCCGGGCCAGAGTAAGGGGTACAGGGTTAAAAAGTGCTGATGTGACAGGTGATATGAAGGCTACTAGGGCAAGTGCAGTGTGCAGAGTGCGGCAATCTTAATTTAATGAAGTGCTTATGGGACTTGGTATTGGAGGTTTCCTATTCGGGGAAGGCACATCGGAACAGCCAGGTCTTCAAATTCTTTCTGAAGACTGCCAATGTAGGGGCCTGTCTAAGATCTTTGGGGAGAGTGTTCCAGAGACGGGGGGCCACCATGGAAAAGGCCCTGTCTCGTGTCCCCACCAAGCGGCGCTTGCGACGCAGGTGGGATCATGAGCAGGGCCTCTCCAGATGAACGTAGTGATCGCATGGGTTCGTAGACGGAGATGCGGTCACGCAGGTAGGCTGGTCCCAAACCGTTCAGGGCTTTGTAGGTAAGCACCTGCACCTTAAATTGGGCTCGGAAAATAAACGGCAGCCAGTGGAGCTCCTTAAACAGGAGGGTTGACCTCTCTCTGTAAGGAGCACCAGTTAACATCCTGGCTGCTGCCCGTTGGACCAGTTGGAATTCCGAGCCGTTTTCAAGGGCAGCCCCACATAGAGCGCATTACAGTAGTCCAATCTAGAGGTGACCAAGGCATGGACCACCCCGGCCAGATTAGCCTTCGCGAGGTACGGTTGCAGTTGGCGCACGAGTCTCAATTGTGCAAAAGCCCTCCCAGACACCGCCGACACCTGAGCCTCAAGCGTAAGCGATGAATCCAAGAGGACTCCCAAACTGCGGACCTGTGACTTCAGGGGGAGTGTAACCCCGTCCAGCACAGGTTGCCACCCTATACCCCGGTCAGGTTTGCGATCGACCAGAAGGACCTCTGTCTTTTCGGGATTGATCTTCAGCTTGTTCCTCCTCATCCAGATAGACACAGCGGCCAGGCACTCGTCCAGCACCCGAGAGGCCTCCTTGGAATTGGGTGGAAATGAGTAGTAGAGTTGTTTGTCATCTGCGTAGAGATGGCACCTAATTCCAAAACTTCGGATGACCTCTCCCAGCGGTTTCATGTAGATGTTAAAAAGCATGGGAGACAGAATAGAGCCTTGCGGGACCCCATAGATTTATATATCTATTAAATGTATATAATATGATCAAGGGTCTGGAGAACAAGCCCTATGAGGAGCGGCTTAAGGAGCTGGGCATGTTTAGCCTGAAGAAGAGAAGGCTGAGAGGGGATATGATAGCCATGTATAAATATGTGAGAGGAAGCCACAGGGAGGAGGGAGCAAGCTTGTTTTCTGCTTCCCTAGAGACTAGGACGCAATGGAACAATGGCTTCAAACTACAGAAAGGAGATTCCATCTGAACATGAGGAAGAACTTCCTGACTGTGAGAGCCGTTCAGCAGTGGAACTCTCTGCCTCGGAGTGTGGTAGAGGCTCCTTCTTTGGAAGCTTTTAAACAGAGGCTGGATGGCCATCTGTCAGGGGTGCTTTTAATGCAATATTCCTGCTTCTAGGCAGTGGGTTGGACTGAATGGCCCATAAGGTCACTTCCAACTCTTATGATTCTATGATTCAGTGGAATTATTATTGTTGTTGTTATTAATTTTAGGCCTGTGTTGTTGTTTCTTGATTGAGATTTTTTTGTAATTATTGTCCTATTTATTTATTTATACCCTTGCTTTTACTTCTTGATCGAGAAGAAAATGACATTATTATTTTTGTCCTATTTATTTAAACCCTACTTACATGTCTTGGTAGTCTTATTATTATTATTATTATTTATTTATTTATTTTACACCCATTTATTTATTTATACCCTGTTTTTATTTGTTGATGGAGAAAAAAATGACATTATTATTCTTGTCCTATTTATTTAAACCCTACATACATGTCTTGGTGGTCTTATTATTATTATTATTATTATTATTATTATTATTATTATTTATTCATTTTGGGCCTGTGTTGTTGTTTCTTGATTGAGATTTTCCTATTTATTTAAACCCTACTTATATGTCTTGGTGATATTATTATTATTATTATTATTATTATTATTATTATTATTATTATTGATTTTAGGCCTGTGCTAGTTGCAGTGAAGCCTGGAGTGAGCTGAGCTGCGTTGCCAGGGGCAACCATCTCCAGCTTTTCCGCTTCGGCGTTCGATTAGTTGTGGCTGGTCCCCTTGCTTTGGCTTCTTTAGTAGCGTCAACAGAGGCCAATCGATCAATGTCTCGGCGTTCGGCCGGCATGCCTGGCACCTGGGGTGTTGTGTTGCTCAGGGAAGCAAGATGGCGGCGGCGGGCGCCTCGTCGTCGGTGTCTGCGGCGGTGGTGTCCGGAGCCGCCCCGCTGGGGAAGGGGCTGGACATCAGCCTGGCGGCTCTGCAGCGGCACGACCCTTACATCAGCAGCATCGTGGACGTGGCCAGCCAGGTGGCGCTCTACACCTTCGGCCACCGCGCCAACGAGTGGGTGAGTGAACCCCAGGAAGAGAGAGAGAGAGAGGGCCGCCATTGAGGGAGGAGAAGCCCAAAAGGGGCCGCGGCCCCTTTAAGTAGAGTCATACAACCATACAGACCACGTCAGCCATTCTAGACCAAGCATGGGCCCTCCAAGTGTTTTGGACTACAACTCCCACAATTCCTAACAGCCGGTAGGCTGTTAGGAATTGTGGGAGTTGTAGTCCAAAACACCTGGAGGGCCCAAGTTTGCCCATGCCTGATCTACACCAACCCCATTCAGCCATGCAGGAGAAGCCCCATCTAAGCAGCCCTGACAGATGGCCACCCAGCCTCTGTTTAAAAGCTTCCAAAGAAGGAGCTTGTACCACACTCCGAAGCAGAGAGTTCCCCTCTTGAACAGCTCTTAGAATCAAAGAGTTGGAAGAGACCTCATGGGCCATCCAGTCCAACCCCCTGCCAAGAAGCCGGAATTTTGCATTCAAATCACTCTTGACAGATGGCCATCCAACCTCTGTTTAAAAGCTTCCAAGAAAGGAGCTTATACCACACTCCGGGGCAGAGAGTTCCACTGCTGAACGGCTCTCACAGTCAGGAAGTTCTTCCGCGTGTTCAGATGGAATCTCTTCTCTTGTAGTTTGAAGCCATTGTTCCGGTCTCCAGGGAAGCAGAAAACAAGCTTGCTCCATCCTCCCTGTGGCTTCCTCTCACATATTTATACATGGCTATCATATCTCCTCTCAGCCTTCTCTTCTTCAGGCTAAACATGCCCAGCTCCTTAAGCCGCTCCTCATAGGGCTTGTTCTCCAGACCCTTGATCATTTTATTCGCCCTCCTCTGGACACATTCCAGCTTGTCAATATCTCTCTTGAATTGTGGTGCCCAGAATTGGACACAATATTCCAGGTGTGGTCTAACCAAAGCAGAATAGAGGGGTAGCATTACTTCCCTAGATCTAGACACTACGCTCCTATTGATGCAGGCCAAAATCCCATTGGCTTTTTTTGCCGCCACATCACATTGTTGGTTCATGTTTAACTTGTTGTCCATGATGGCTCTAAGATCTTTTTCACACGTACTGCTCTACCATCCAACCTCTGTTTAAAAGCTTCCAAAGAAGGAGCCTCCACCACACTCCGAAGCAGAGAGTTCCCCTGTTGAACAGCTCTTACAATCAGGAAGTCCTTCCTAATGTTCAACTCCAATATTTTCTCCTGTCATTTGAACCTATGGCTCCAATGAGTCCTAGTTTCAAGGGCAGCGAGGAAAAAAGCCTGCTCCTTTAAGAAAAACGTGACCTATTAGAGATCTGGGTTGTTGTAGGTTTTTTCGGGCTATATGGCCATGGTCTAGAGGCATTCTCTCCTGACGTTTCGCCTGCATCTGTGGCAAGCATCCTCAGAGGTAGTGAGGTCTGTTGGAACTAGGAAAAAGGGTTTATATATCTGTAGAATGACCAGGGTGGGACAAAGGACTCTTGTCTGCTGGAGCTAGGTGTGAATGTTTCAACTGACCACCTTGATTAGCATATAAGTTGATCTTAAAAACTTTATTTCAAAGCCTGCCTGAATAAAAAGGTTGTAACCTGCTGTCTGAAGGACAGGGAAGAGGCCATTCTGGCTTCCTTGGGCAGGGAGTTCCAGAGTTGAGGGGCAGCCACTGAGAAGGCCCGCTTTCTCGTTCTTAGCTCAGTGCTAAGGAACCTTGGGATATGCTGTTTTTTATACCCCACTTTCATCTTTAGATTGGGGGTTGTAGTTTTACAGGGTCTTTAATCTTTTGTGTCCAAAAAGTGCTGGTACCTCACCAAACTTCAACTCCCAGGGTTCCATAGTAGCGAGGCATGACTTAGACCACAAGCAGAGTATGAGTCAACAGTGTAGTGTGGCAGCTAAAAAGAATTGCAGTGCAATTCTAAACTGGATCACCAGGAAGATCTGGTTTTAGTGGTTCCCAACCTTTGGGCCTTCAGGTGTTTTGGACATCAACTCCCTGAAATTCTAGCCAGCTTACCAGTTGTTAGAGCAGGGGTCCTCAAACATTTTAAACAGAGGGCCAGATCACAGTCCCTCAAACTGTTGGAGGGCCGGATTATAATTTGAAAAAAACATGAATGAATTCCTATGCACACTGCACATATCTTATTTGTAGTGCAAAAAAACATTTAAAAACAATGCAAGAACAATTTTAACAAATATAAACTAATTAGTATTTCAATGGGAAGTGGGAGCCTGCTTTTGGCTGATGAGATAGGATTGTTATTGTTGCTGTGTGCCTTCAAGTCATTTCAGACTTAGGTTGACCCTGAGCAAGGGCCGGGTAAATGACCTTGGAGGGCCGTATCCGGCCCCTGGGCCTTAGTTTGAGGACCCCTGTGTTAGAAAATGTGGAAGCTGAAGTCCAAAATACCTGGAGGCCTAAAGGTTGGGAACGACTGAATGAATTCAAGTCTCCAGGGCCACATGAACTACATCTAAGAGTATTGAAGGAACTTGCAGAAGTGATTTCAGAACCACTGGCAATAATTTTTGACAATTCTTGGAGGACAGAAGTCCTGGCAGACTGGAGGAGGGCAAATATTGTCCCTATCTTCAAGAAAAGGGAAAAAAGAGGACCCAAAGAATTACTGTCCAGTCAGCCTGACATCAATACCAGGAAAAAATCTGGAGCAGATTGTTAAGGAGACAGTCTGCAATGACTTAGAAAGGAATGCTGTGATCACTAAAACTTAGCAAGAATTTATCAAAAACAAGTCATGCTAGGCTTACACCTTTTTCGATGGAGTTGCAAGTAAATGGTAGATGCAGGGGATGCTGTGGATGTGCCATATCTTGATTTCAGCATGGCTTTTAACAAGCTCCCTCGTGATATTCTTACAAGCTAGTAAAATATGAGCTAGACAATGCTACTGTTAGAAGGATTGGGAATGTTTTGAGTGGCTGAATCCAAAGGGTGCTTCTCTCCATCCTGGAAAGAAGTGACTAATACAGTGCTGTAAATAGGATTCTGTCCTGGGCCTAGTGCTATTAATTATCTTTATTAATGTTTTGGACAGTGGAATAGAGAGCATATTGATATTGTTCTCTATTCCACCAAATTGGGAGGAATGGCTAATATTCAGAGGACAACATCAGGATCCAAAATGACCCAAGCAGATGAGATACCTGGGCCAAGATTATCAAAATGAATTTCAACAAGGAGCAATATATGGTATTACACTTAAGCAGAAGAAATAAAATCCACACACATAGACACGGCTTGAAAACAATACGTGTGAAAGGGACCCAGGAGTCTTAGTAGAATAGAGGAGTCTAAGAGGTGGCATAATAGCCATGTTTAAATATTTGAAATGATGTCATGTTGAGAAGGGTGTAAGCTTGTTCTCTGTTCATGCAAAAACTAAGACACAGAGCCATGGGTTCAAATGAAAGGTAAAGGGATTCCACTTAAACCTTAGGAGGAACTTCTGGATGGTGGGAGCTGTCCAACACTGAAAACCCCCAGGTATGATAGCCACCTCTAAGGGAAGGTAGCTTGGATTTGTGCTCTGAAAGGGAATTGGAATAAATAACCCTTAGATGTCTCTTCCAATTATGTGATCCATTTGATGTCTGGATGTTGTTTGGTGGGTGGATTTGTGTCTTGTTTATTAGCAGCATGTTTAAAATTTGCTCTGACAGAAGCCCTGCTTGTGTATTTCTGAAAAGCAGGACCCCCAGCTGCTCTGTGTCCTCCATCCAAATCTGGGTCAATCAGTCTGGATCAAAGCACTTCCTAAGTAGGACATCCTCCTACATTCATCAGTTTCAGTAGCCGGCTGCTTAAAATATAGATGGTGGTTTGAACCTTGGACTCTGAAGAGCAGGGTTCAAATACCCGCTCATCTTAAAAACCCACTGGAAGACATTGGGCAAGTCCCACAAATTTTTAGCCTCAGAAAAAAACCATGATAGGTTTGCCTTAGGTTCACCATAAGTGGGAAATGACTTGAAGGCACACAACAGCAACGAACAATCATTACCAAAATTGTGTTGTTGAGGGCTTTCATGGCTGAAATCACTCAAAACATTCTCAGTCCACCTAACAGTAGCATTGTCTAGCCAACGTTTTACTAGCTTGTGAGAATATCATAAGGGACCTTGTTAAAAGCCATGTTGATATCAAGATTACCAAAATCACCAGTTTCTTAATTAATATGTTTGCTTTGCCACAATAGACCAGGCATGGGCAAACTTTGGCCCTCCAGGTGTTTTGGATTTCAACTCGCACAATTCCTAACAGCCTACCGACTGTTAGGTATTGTGGGAGTTGAAGTCCAAAACACTACGGTAAAGTATTCAGAATGGTGTGCTCTGTTTATTTATTTATTTATTATTTGAACTTATATGCCGCCACTCCCCTGGGGCTCGGAGCGGCTTACAAGAATGGCTAAAATCTAACAAATTTAAAAGCAATTTAAAACAATTTAAAAACAGCGATATCAAACATTAAAAGCCTGTTGAAACAGGTATGTCTGGTGCCACTGCTGTGAAGGCTCTGCGTCTGGTTGCTGTTAGACGCAAGGTCTTGACACTGGGAATTTCTAATAGATCTTGGTCCTCAGAACGGAGGGATCTCTGGGGTTGGTATGACACCAGTGCATTCTGTTGTTGCTAGAAAATGTAATACTTTCTCTGACAAAATATGTGTGGTTGTAAGATCACAAATTAACCAACAGCCAACCTTCCTTCTTAATAAAGCAGTGTTTCACCTCTTATATATTATTACATTAAAGTACCAAAACTTGGAAAAGTTACAGTTCATACCATGCTGGTTGTGGGAGGAAGACCCATAATAGTAACTTTTCACAGCTGTACAGTGGACATAAAGGTAATGCATGGGTTACACAAGTATTTCCTTAAATGGTATTCACCAGTGTGAAAAAATGTATATATACCAGAATATATTGACCACTTTGAACATGAAGGATATGTTTAATGGGCTCAAGCATTTGTACCAAAATCTATCTGGGATGTCTGCTACTTCCATGAAATGGCTTGTGTATATACTGTTAATTTATGTATTTTTTTATCTGATTGTAGGAAAAAACTGATGTGGAAGGAACATTGTTTGTTTACAAAAGGTGAGAATTTTAAATACTTTCATTATTATCATTATTGTTAAACATTTATGCCTGACCCTATCTCGAGGCAGCTTGCAAATAGTATTAAAACAAGTTATTTAAAACAGCATAATAATGCAAATAAGTAAAATATGTTAAACAACATAATGGTTTTGACTATGTTAACTTTCAGAACAGCTTCACCGAAATACGGATTCACCATTATGAACAGACTGAGCATGGAAAATCGGACAGAACCCATAACTAAAGACCTGGACTTCCAACTACAAGACCCTTTCCTTCTTTATAGAAATGCCAGATGTGAGTAACACTGAAAATCTCAGTTACTAGAACAATCTCATCTGTGTCCTGTGCTAAGAATAAAAATGGAGAAAAGTTTCCTCCAGTTTTGGATGCCATTCAAAGATACACAATAGCATTCTGGTATACACCAGAATACAAAGAAGCGTCCTTTTTGAAGTATTCCAAATATAAGTACCTCATTTAATCTTCTTTCTTCTTCCTCACTCCTTCTTTTCCCTTCTACTTCCTCCTTCTTCTCTTCTTTTTCTTCCTCTTCTTCTTAATACCAGTCCCTAGGTTTCTCTAATATGACCCAAGAAATAGAATTCAATAATGAAACTGGTTGAATGCAAGTGGCTCCAGTTCTTTCATTATCAACTTTTATTTGATTAGACAAGTAACTTTACTGGATATCTTTCAAGGAGGCTCAGTGTTGCTCCAAGGGATGATTGCTTTGCCCTTGCTGCCTGTTGAGCTTGTCAACAGTCAAGCCTACCAATATCCTTATTCACCAGCCAGCTATGTGTTTATTGGGGGACTTTGGGTTATGAGTGGATTTAGCAAAAGATTGGAGAAAATTTATTCAAAATTCTTCCATCCAAATGTGCTTTTCTTTTGTTGCATCTGCACTATATTTAATGCAGTTTGATACCACTTTAGCTGTCATGACTCAATGCCATGCAGTCTTAGGAGTTGTAGTTTTGTGTAACAACAGCTGTTGAAATATAAAGGAAGGGGTGACATTCTATGTTTCAGGTGTATCACATTTTAAATTTTTTAGAAAAACTACTGCAAATTGTATTTAGCTTCACTGGTCAAAGATGGGTGGTGATAGTCATGATACTATGTTGTTCATCATTTGGTATGTTTGTTGTGCATTTTACAGTGTCCATTTATGGAATTTGGTTTTACGATAAGGAAGAATGCCAAAGAATTGCCGAGCTCATGAAAAAGTAAGTGTTGGAGGACCAAAAAAACCCCCACCTTTTGGGATTTTACCTGAATGCATTTTTCTTGGCTTCCAATATTAGACAGGATTTCGTGACTTTAGGAGAATAGATAGATAGATATCTGGAGAGCCTCCCATTGCTGATATATAGTTGCAACTCAGCCAGAGTTTACCTTGCCCTTAGCACCAATCAGGACTCCAAAAGCAGTAATAAAACAGTTTAGTGAAGGAAGTTCATATAAAAAGGAAAAATCACCCAAAGGGATAAGACAAAATCTAACAGGTAATCAGAAAAAGTAGCCCATAAGTAAAAATTACAGCCAAGCTGGTGAGGAGTAAAACACTTCAAAGGCAATAATGGTACAGGAAAACAAGTCATAACATGAACATAAATCCAGGGAAACAAGAATCAAAACATGACATGATTCCAGAAAACCCAATAACTTTGACTAAATATAAACTTGAAACAGTACTTGAGATCCTCCCTCTCTAGCAGTGTTGCCTGATCTGAATTCTCAAAGAGATGCTCTCTAATTTAAGGGCTGCAAAACATGAAATAATTTCTTTGACGTTGACTTTCTGGCTTGTGGGACTTCATGCTTCCTTCTCATGCCTGTTGAATTTCCTGAGCTGGATGTTTTCCTCCCTAATATCAAACCTGATACCCTGTCAAACTCACCTGCTCTCTCAGGTGAGCTATCTCAGCCTTCCAGGCCTTTATCAGGAGTTGCTAAGCTACTCGTAGGTGAAAAGTCATCTCCACGATTCACTGTATCTCACTGTCTGCTTAACTCAGAAACAGTTTCACTTTCAATCCCCATCTCACAGACATCCCTCATTTCCTTCAGTGAAAGAACCATCCACTGCTCTCCCAGGCCCTCCAGACACTGAAATCCCAATCCTCACATCTTCATCTATTTGAACTACAACATATATATAGATAGAACATCTTATTCTATAAGCCATGTTTATTACAACATAAACACAGAGCTCATGTGCAAGTATCTTAAGTATCATTGTCTGTTATAATAAACCATAATGCTGAATACTAGATTATTTAGAAACATGGGCAGTTTCTTAGTCCCTCGTGACTGGCCACATGGTTGAATGGTTGAAAGACTCAAAACCTCTCTCAATGAGCCTGATATGACTGATGTGACTATGGTGATAGCTACTTATTATCATTTACTAGCTATGTTAACCATGTTAACTGGCACGGCGTAGATACTACTTTGTAAACAAAGTGTCTGTCTTATTTATTTCAATAAATGATTGGTTGCCAAGTTTTATGATTGTAAACCATGTTTAATTATGCTAATCACATTTCATCTACTAAAATTGAACCTGACTTCAGCTAAGATACAATATGTTGGAATTCACAGCAGCTCGCAGCAATTATGATATAGCTGGGATAGAAAATTAGTCTTTCTCTAGCAGTTAAGGACTTCCTTGTGAGTAATTGCTCTCCATCTTGGTCTTTTATTGTCCACTGAGCACAAAATAAGTGAAATTATCAGGTTATATCAACCTCAGGCAAACATTACTTGTTTGTTTATTCTGAGACCATCATCAGAATCTCCCCAATTGGAGGCAATTGGGAACAAACTCTAATTTTCTTTATTTCTTCATCCTTCATTTTCAGTTTAACTCAGCAAGAGCAGCTGAAAGCACAGCAGGGAACCATCATGGGAATTTCCCCCGTAAGCCTGAATTCAGGTGACAGCAAAGAAGTGGATATCCTGCGGATGCTTACTAAAGCCAAAGACGAATATACCAAGGTGAGACTTATTTGTGTACAGTGACATTAAACATTTGACTGTTTTCTCATTCCCTCATGCTGCTGTGTAATTCTCTTGTAGATTTATCATTAATACAGAAAATTAATACTGAACCTTTATCCTTGGCCTCACAGTCAGGAAATTGCCCACAACCAGAAACCAGTCTGATGGATTTAAATGCTGTAAATACTAAAATGATTTAGAAGGCTAAAAACATATTTAACAGTTGAACAGATAGAAAGATAGATTGAAAGATTGAAAGTAGTTTAAAACAGATTAATTCATAATTTTCCCCTCAAACCTTCCCTTGACTTATATATGAGGTTGTCTTATATGTGAGCATATACAGTGTTTACATCGCACCTATCTTCACAGACCTGTCAGTAGCTTATAATCCTGTAAATAATCACCTTCGTCTGAGAAAAAATTATAATATCACAAAGGCCTCACCTGCTTCATAGGAAATTTGCTACAAAACAGGAGCTTTTTTGTTGAGTTTCAGGGCCAGAGAAGCGGATGGTGAAAACAGAAAAACAGCATGCCTCAGGGGAGCATGCTTGCTCCATCAATGTTTAATATTTATATTATTAATTAAATAAATAAATTTACACAAATGATCAGCCACTGCCAGAAGGGACAGAGAGTTTCATCTATGCTGACGATCGAGCCATCACCACCCAAGCAGGGAGCTTTGAAATGGTTGAACAGAAGCTCTCCGAAGCTTTAGGTCCTCTTACTTCCTGTTACAGGAAAAACTAGTTGATTCTTAATCCAGCTAAAACACAGACATGTGCTTTTCACCTTAAGAACAGACAAGCTCTGAGGATCACCTGGGAAGGAATCCCACTGAAGCATTGCAGCACACCCAAATACCTGGGAGCCACTCTGGACCGTACTCAGACTTACATGAATCACTGCTTGAATATCAAGCAAAAAGTGGGTGCTAGAAATAACATCATATGAAAGCTGACAGGCACAGCCTGTGGATCACAACCAGATACATTGAAGACACCTGCCCTTGCACTTTGCTACTCTGCTGCTGAATATGCATGTCCAGTATGGAATACATCTTCCCATGTTGAAACAGTGGATATGGATTATCACAGGATGTCTACGCCCCACACCACTGGAGAAATTATAGTGTTCAGCCAGTATTGCACCACTTGACATCTGTCAGGAAGTAGCAGCCAATAATGAAAGGACAAAGGCAGTGACATCTCAGGCCCATCCCCTGTTCAGTTATCAGCCAGCACGCCAATGCCTTAAATCAAGTAACAGCTTCCTAAGATTGAGAGAGATACTTGCAGGAACACCTCAGCAAGCGAGAATCCAAAAGTGGCAGGCTAAAACCCGGAACTTTAATCAGTGACTGAGACTGGATGAGAAACCTTCTCTTGAGCACACAGAAGAGTGGGCAACTTGGAAGGCGCTGAACAGACTGCGCTCTGGCACCACGAGATGTAGAGCCAACCTTAAGAAATGGGGCTACAAAGTGGAGTCCACACCTGCGAGTGTGGAGAAGAGCAAACCACAGACCACCGACGACAATGCAGCCTGAGCCCTGCCACATACACAATGAAGGACCTTCTCACAGCGACACCAGAGGCACTCGACGCAGCCAGCTACTGGTTAAAGGACATTTAGTATAATGCCAACTTTTTAAACTTTGTGTTTTGAAATACATTACAACTGTACCCTCAATTTGCTTCTGACACGATAAATCGCACCTGTCTTTTATTTTATCTTGAAATTATCATTAGCTTTCTTTCAATTATCCTTATTCAGTATGTTTTTAGTTCTCACTTTTAAGTATACTTGCTTTCATGAGGATGGAGCTCTTGGGAAGAAGGGCTTTTAAAAACAACAACAACAATGTTTTGTGTATGTGTTCCAGTGCAAGACATGTTCAGAGCCCAAACAAATCACCAGCTCTTCTGCTATATACAACAATCCTAACTTGATCAAACCAATTCCAGTGAAGCCCAGTGAAACTCCTCACCAATGTGCATCGCAGCAGACACAGGTTTGTGGAAGTATATATGCCCTTTTGACTCATGCGCCTCTAGATATGCATTGGAAACCTGCATAGGAAACTTTCTAAGCAGTTATGAAATAATACTTCGGTGGCAAACCTGTATCTGTCATCATGTCTGTTTCTGATCTCACAGCGGCCTGGATCCAGTACTTTGATGGATCAAGCGTCTCAGTATTACAGGATCTTATAACATCTTTGAGTCCCCTTCGGGGGGAATAAAGCAGGATATAAATACAAATAATAATAATAATAATAATGGGTTGTTGTAGGTTTGTCAGGAGATAATGCCTCTAGAGCATGGCCATATAGCCCGAAAAAACCTACAACAACCCAGTGATTCCGGCCATGAAAGCCTTTGACAATACAATAATAATAATAATAATAATAATAATAATAATAATAATAGTAATAATATGGCTGGGAAGATGTTTCTCCTATGACCCATGACTCCAACATTATTATTATTATTATTATTATTATTATTATTATTATTATTATTTGAAACCCAACAAGATGAGTCCACAGCAGACACTCTGCTGGCTGTTGTATTGGATCACACGTCGGACACTTCCCAAGTGTCTAGGACTGTGTGATGTATCGGCAAACAATACGTGCAGATCCCAGTAAGGTGGCCTTCTGCAGCTGGCAGATGGTAATTTTGTCAGCGCCGATTGTGTTTAAGTGCAGGCCAAGGTCTTTAGGCACTGCACCCAGTGTGCCGATCACCACTGGGACCACCTTGACTGGCTTGTGCCAGAGTCTTTGCAGTTCGATCTTTAAATCCTCATATCGTGTCAGCTTTTCCAGTTGTTTCTCTTCAATCCTGCTGTCACCTGGATTGCAACATCGACGATCCATACTTTGTTTTTTAACACGATCGTGAGGTCAGAATTATTGTGCTCCAAAACTCACTCTGTCTGAATTTGGAAGTCCCAGAGTGGCTTGACGTGTTCATTTTCCTATAATAATAATATTTTTGGAGTCATGGGTCCAAACATCTTCCCAGCCATCACTTTCCCCTTTGCAACAGTATTCTCAAATAATTTTTATCAACCATTCAATCAGAGTTATTTACTTGTATATCCATTCCAAACAGCAAGATTGCAATGCCATCAGCAGTTTGTAGAAAAGTCAGGAAGGGACAATTGGGACTAACCCTTTTATCCTTTCCTTTATTTAATGGACCTCTGCCTTTTTTGTGATTTCCTCACAATTTCTTTTCTTTTCCCTAACAGAACGCGGATCCCGAACCGCATCATTTGTCCCTGATGACACTCTTTGGGAAACCAGAAAAATCTAGCACATGCCAGGATGTCCCGGACTTGTCACAGAAACTTCCTCCCAGACAAGGAGTTGTCCGTTCCTTGTCCTACGAGGAGCCGGGCAGGCATTCGCCCTCCATTGAGAAGCAGCTTTGCCCAGCCATTCAGAAACTCATGGTGCGCGGTGGGGCTGAGCTGCACCCAGTCTCAGAACTCCCCGAGAGCCGACTCTGTGAGAACGGCGGGAAGGTTTTCACCGGACTCTTCCAGCCTGTGGCTCCTCATGGCGTTGGTGCAGCGTCCCATCTGGTCCACAACGCAGCCACCACACACAGCTTGCTGCAGCAACTGCAGGGTCAGCCAGCGCAGGTGGCTAAAATGGAGGCCAGCAACGCAGTACCTCCATGTCCGGCTGCACCGCTCTTCAGCCAGACTGCTCCTGCGTCCTCAGTCCCCCAGGTCAAGAGTGCAACCCAGCCACCTATGATGTATTTCAATGGTTCCCTCCCAAGTCAGACATTGGGGTCTCCTCCAGCCCTTGGAAAGGAACAGTCCAAACTCCCTAAGCAGCCTCCTCCTCTCTCAGGAAACCCACCAGGAAGTTCTGGAGTAATTTCCCCACAAGAGTTGCTAAAGAAACTCCAAATAGTGCAGCAGGAGCAACAGTTACATGTCTCAAGTCGACCAACCTTGGCAGCTAAGTTTCCTGTGGTTACTCAGAGTGGCCCCTCTCTGAAACCTTTGGATTCCTGGATCGAAAAGGCTTCAAACACCGAAAAGCAGCTTCCTCTTTTTCAGGTAAACCCATAGCAATGTGCATTGTTCCAGAGTAAGTCGAACTGGAAATATTTATCTACGTGAAGTGGCCTGATTCAGCACCTTTGGTTTGAATGCAGGCATACCTCAGTTAACAAAGTTTCCGACAAAAAAGCTCCTGTTTACAAAATTTCTTTATTGTTTCCCAGCCTCCTCTTTTTCTCATAGACTGTGTGAATTACCCTTACAATGATTAAAATATTTATATAGCTCACTTTGTGTAGAACCTTGGAATTCTGCTTTTCTTGGTCAAAAACGTGGCTTGCGTGGACACAGAACATTCATAGAATCATTGAGTTGGAAGAGACCTTGTGGGCCATCCAGTCCAACCCCCTGCCAAGAAGCAGAAAAATTGCATTCAAAGCCCCCCCAACAGATGGCCACCCAGCCTCTGCTTAAAAACCTCCAAAGAAGGAGCCTCCACCACATTCATTTCTTTCATAGTATAAAATCCATGCGTGATACTCCTTGACAGCTGAACAAGAGCCTGACTGCTCTCTGGCTAGGCTTTCAATCCAGAACGTGACAATATTTCTTACTACCTGCCTGTTTAAAGGAATGGCTGTTTAAATCCAGCTTTTGGTCCTTGTTGACCTTTTAGGATTGTCACATTACACCACTATACAAACAGAGATGGAACAGTTGGTCCTCTGTATTATATACTGTATATACTCGAGTATAAGCCGACGCGAATATAAACCGAGGCACCTAATTTTACCACCAAAAAATGGGAAAACTTATTGTCGAGGGTGGGAAATGCAGCTGCTACTGGTAATATAAAATATAGATACCAATAAAATTACATTAATTGAGGAAACAGTAGGTTAAATGTAATAATAATAAAAATAAATACAGTAAAATAAATGTAATAAAATAGTAATAGAGTAAAATAATGCCAATGTAATAACAACAATAATAAAGTAAAATAATAAATGTAATAATAATAATAATAATAATAATAATAATAATAATAATAAATAGAGTAAGATAAATGCAATAAAATAATAATAGAGTAAAATAATAAATATAATAACAACAATAATAAAGTAAAATAATATATGTAATAATAATAATAGAGTAAAATAAATGTAATAAAATAATAATAGAGTAGAATAATGCAAATGTAATAATACCAATAATAGAGTAAAATAATAAATGTAAAAAATAATAGTAATAGCAGAGTAAAATAATAAATAACTTTGACTCGAGTATAAGCCGAGGGCAGCTTTTTCAGCCTTAAAAAGGGCCTGAAAAACTAGGCTTATACTCGAGTATATACAGTATTTCACTTTTGCAGATTTGATTAAAATATTCTAAGCATCTCTCATTTTCCGTTGCAACTGTATGGTCAGCTTCTGCCAGAAATTCATCATAGAGTTATGCTGGAGCACTGTGTAATGTTCAGGTCCATGTTATCATTCCACCCGTGTGTGCTTGTCTTGGGTTTGTGTAATGACCCCATATTGCTGGCCCTCCCGTCCCGTAAGAAGCGTTGGGTGAGTGCGCTTGTTAACGAAAGACCCTCCTCATAAATGTACAGCAGAGTAACTTATTATCAGCAGCGGGACCCATCATCAGTAGCCTAAAGTGATAAAAAGAACAAAAACACACAGGCCAATGTTATCTCTTCTATAGGAGGCTTTTCTTTATAGTAAAATAATATGGTTGTACTGTTTACAAGAACAAGGTTTCCATAACACAAATAAAGTTCTTTATACTTCCTTCTTTGCATCCATGCTGGGCTTCTTTCTCATGTAGATAAACAGCTTCGCTCTCACAGAGCCTCCTCTCACACCAAAGTTACACAGAAGCTTAACACAGTAGCTTTTTACACACAACAGCTTTCATACTAGAGCTTCACACATGATGGTCTTCAACCTGAGGCTTCACTCACCAAAGCTTGTCAAACTGAGACCTACCTTACACTGAGGCAAACTAACACTGAGGCGTACTAACACACAGAGATCCTTCTCCCACAGAGACTTCTCATAGACTAAGGGATACCTGCTTATATAGAACTACAGCTTTTTCTGAGTCATTGCATCCATTTAACCCTTTTAGTGCTTGACTCACATTTTTGTAATTAAAAATACCTAATTAATTTTTAATATTCCTGACAAGCAGGTCATTTCACCGCAGCGGATCCCTGCGACCGTAGCTCCTTCACTCCTGATGTCTCCAATGGTCTTCAGCCAGTCAAACCCGGCTCCACCGAAACCAAATGAAAGCGGCTGGCTGCCGGTTGCAAACCAAGAAGCCACTCCCAGTTCAGCAAACCTTCTCCTGCCTCTGCAAAACCCAGAACCTCCGGTTGGAAACCTAAATCCACTGACAAAGCTGCAGCTACAGGAAACCCTACTGCATCTAATTCGGGTAAACATCAGATTTTCTTACCTTCTTTATTTTGATAAAAAAACTGTGTGTGAGAGCCCAGCAATTCCCTTTCCTAACTGAGAATGGGCAAAGGATCCTGGATGGGATTAATACTTGATTTTACATTATTGAGCATCTTATTTGATTCAGTAGGGGTTTTATATACTGTTTTGATTAATGTTGTTTTAGGTAAATTGTCGTTGTTATTGGTTTTATTTTATCTTGTGTATTTTACTGCACTATCACATGCTTCTGTAAGCTGCCCCGAGTCCCTTTTCGGAGATGATGGCAGGATATAAATACATAATAATAATAATAATAATTATTATTATTATTATTATTATTATTATCATCATTATTATTATTTGATACATAACGAGATTAGTACACAGCAATTGTGATCACTATGCTGGCTTTTGCATTCGATCACACATTGGACACTTCCCAAGTGTCTAGGACTATGAGATGTGTCAGTGAATAATGTGTGCAGATCCCAGTAGGGTAGCTTTTTGCAGCAGACAGATGGTAATTTTGTCAGAGCCGATTGTGTTTAAGTGCAGGCCAAGGTCTTTAGGCACTGCACCCAGTGTGCCAATCACCACTGGGACCACCTTGACTAGCTTGTGCCAGGGTCGTCGTCGTCATTATTATTATTATTATTATTATTATTATTATTATTTTACTGACACAAAAACACAGTATGACACAGTAAACGAGATATATATGCTGGATTTCGTATCACAAAATCACAAGTCAAACACTTTCCAAGCGTTTAGGACTATGTGATATATTTTCAAAAGATTTGAAAGTACAGGTGGACCACTGGGACCACCTGTACTGGTTTATGCCAGAGCCTTTGCAGTTCGAGGGCCTGATAACGCCTAAGTTTTTCCTGTTGTTTTTCATCAATTCGGCTGTCACCTGGCATTATTTATTATTATTATTATTATTATTATTATTATTATTATTTTGCTGGCACGTTAATCTATTAATTTATTGTTAAACTTTGTTGATGATGTACAATGTTTTAAAATGATTTTATTGTGAGTTGTAGTTTTTATGGTATTTATGGTAGCCGCCCTGAGTCCCCTTAGGGGGTTGAGAAAGGCGGGGTAGAAGTACCCAAAATAAATAAATAATGTTGTTAGCATCCTCTGATGCTCGTGTGAGGCTGCGCTGAGCCCCCCTTGTCGGGAGAAGGGCGGGATATAAATATATGAAATAAATTATTATTATTATTATTATTATTATTATTATTATTATTATTGGACAACATTTTTAATTAAGAGATACTTATGGTTTATGTTTCTAATTAATTTTGCTAAGATATTATATTACATGATAATGTTTTTAAATGTTTTATGCTGTTGTGGGTATTAAATTATTGCCTTTGTTAACCGCCCTGAGTTGCCTGAAAGGAGCGGTATATAAATATAGTAAATAAATAACTATTATTATTATTCCTCTTTTTTTGCATTAACAAACGATATGCCTTTCCCTCCTGCAGAATGATGATAATTTCCTAAACATCATCTACGACGCTTACGTTGCCAAGTCAAGAAGAGAAGACTCGAAAAAGCCTCTGTGAAGCATATATATATATATATATATATATATATTTTAATCTGAAGTCTATCCTCCACTTGCCTTTTTAAAACAATGAGAGACATTGGCATCTTGCAAACCTTTAAATGACGCTTATTGACAAGCAGGTGACGATTTTAATGGACGGAAACTGATAGTGCCTTTCTTGGAGCTGGGACTTGGCCACAAATTTGAAATACCTTGTGCTGTTTTTTTTTTTCTTACTTAGACTCTTATGTCAGATGGCATACATTTTGATATTTTGTCATTACTGTGCTGATCCTTTGGGTGGGTTTCCTTTCAAATACATGTTCTGTGGGTACTTTGCCAGGATTTTTTCCTCCCTTGTACATAGTTATTCTTGTATAATGCAGTAATATCTGCAAAGAGTGGTACTTGTTGCTGAGCAACAGAAGGCAGCTTAAGACTTGTTCATAAAAAAGAAAAGAAAGCTTGGGCTGAAAAAAAAAATCACTATTTAGAGCTTCATTGTCACAAAAAAGCCACATTCCTCCTAAAGAGTTTACCCACTTTTTGACATTCTTTTCCACAGCTTATTGAAACTAGTTCGAAACCTACAAACATGGTTGATTGAAGATGACAACAGGGTAGAACAGGCATGGGCAAACTTCGGCCCTCCTGGTGTTTTGGACTTCAACTCCCACGATTCAACTCCAGGAATTGTGGGAGTTGAAGTCCAAAACACCCGGAGGGCTGAAGTTTGCTGAATATTGAGCACACTAAATCCCCATTAAAACCAGGTACTCTTCAAAATGTGCATTGCAACTCATTCCCAAATAACTTTTGATGAAAAATGACATTTTTTTCTTTTTTTAAATTAAAAATAATTCCCTCTTTTTCTAAGCAAATATTTTTCTATTAAGCGACCAGACTATTCATAGCAAAGCAACAGATGGTGAAATTCTAGCTTTTCGAAGACAGGCTTCTGTTTCCAGCTGTTTGGCCTTTAGATGCCGATCTAAGCCAATGCAGGGCTGCAATACTTCTCAGTGCTTCTAGGAAATAGCTCCATCATTTTAAGAAGTTTTGTTAAAAAATAGCAAAAAGGATGAATATTTTAATTTTCACAGTCTTCCATGACCCGCTGGACAATGGTTTCAATTACTCATTTTTGAGAAAAAAAATAAAAATAGGAATACACAGATTCCTGTTTGGATGCATGTTATTACATCAGGTCTGGGCATACCGCAGGCATAGGAAAACTTTGGCCCTTCAGATATTTTGGACTTCAACTCCCACAATTCCTAACAGCCAGAAAACCCGGGATCAGATCCTGGGATATACTTAGGCGATCCCTCGTTGGCAGAGTAGGATAATCTTCCAGGATCAGTATTCTGGTGGGTCCGTAGGTGACTGTGGAGCCCTATTCTTGATCTGCTTCTTCTCCAGCAGTGAGGGCATTGGTTTCCAGGTGGAAGGCGGTCTCGGTCGGGGTTGGCTTGACGTGCCTTCCTCTTGGCACGTTTCTCTCTTTCACCCTCCATTCATGCCTCTTCAAATTCTGCAGCACTGCTGGTCACAGCTGACCTCCAGCTGGAGCACTCAAGGGCCAGGGCTTCCCAGTTCTCAGTGTCTATGCCAGAGTTTTTAAGGTTGGCCAGATAGGCCCTATATCCTGGGATATAGGGCCTATCTGGAAGAGCCCTTAGATAGTGTTGTGTATGCCTGCTTGCAGCATGGAATTCGACTTCCTACTCTAAATTTCTTTCAGGCTGGCTGGGTTTATTTATTTATTTCATGTTTATTTATTTATTTCATTGTACATTGCTTTTAATTGCTTTTAATTGCTGTAAACCGCAATGAGTCGCCGATTTAGGCTGAGATATTAGCGGTATACAAGTGTATTAAATAAATAAAAGCATTGCATAAATACCATGGGAAATAATGTACCATGCAGCTGTGGACAAGTCTACAGAGGGACCACCAAACGCAGCGTTGCCCAAACACGAATCAAGGAACATGATTCAGCCAGAGAAGTCAGCCATAGCAGAGCACTTGATGAACCAACCTGGACACAGCATATTATTTGAGAGCACAGAAATGCTGGACCACTCTCACAACCACCATGTCAGACAACACAGAGAATCCACTGAAATCCACAAGCATGTGGACAATTTCAACAGAAAGGAGGAAACCATGAAAACGAACAAAATCTAGCTACCAGTATTTTTAAAAACTCTAAAATCAGGACACTAAATAAAGAGCAACACTCAAAAATCAGGGGAATTCGAGAGAAGATACAATCATGGCCAGGTTACACCTCCCAACAAAGGATTCCCCAGGCAGCAATCACTCAGGCTTTGAAGCTGCAAGGCCATTAAATGCTAATCAAGATGGCCAATTGCAACATTCACACTTTCCCCAAACAGTCAAGAGTTCTTTCTCCCACCCTGCACATTCCAAAGATATATAAAACTCACATGTCTAGTTTCCAGAAAACACCTCAACTTGTGAGGATGCCTGCCATAGATGTGGGCGAAATGTCAGGAGAGAATGCTTCTGGAACTTTGCCAGACAGCCTGACAAACTCAGGGTAGCTTACAAGGATGTTATTGCGGGCAGCTACTTTGTGCTTGGTGTTTGCATAGCATTTCCTAAATATTAGTGTTCTGTCTACGGCAGGGGTCCTCAAACTATGGCCTGGGGGCCAGATATGTCCCTCCAAGGTCATTTACCCGGCCCTCGCTCAGTGTCAACCTAAGTCTGAAATGACTTGAAAGCACACAACAACAATCCTATCTCATCAGCCAAAAGCAGGCCCACACTTCCCATTCATATGCTAATAAGTTTATATTTGGGTTGTTGTAGGTTTTTTCGGGCTATATGGCCATGTTCTAGAGGCATTTCTCCTGACATTTCGCCTGCATCTATGGCAAGCATCCTCAGAGGTAGTGAGGTCTGTTGGAACTAGGAAAGGGGTTTATATATCTGTGGAATGACAGGGTGAGACAAAGGACTCTTGCTTGCTGGAGCTAGGTGTGAATGTTTCAACTGACCACCTTGATTAGCATTTGATTGCCTGGCAGTGCCTGGAGCAATCCTTTGTTGAGAGGTGATTAGATGTCCTTGTTTGTTTCCTCTCTGTTGTTGTGCTGTTCTAATTTTGGAGTTTTTTTTAATACTGGTAGCCAGATTTTGTTCATTTTCATGGTTTCCTCCTTTCTGTTGAAATTGTCCACATGCTAATCAAGGTGGTCAGTTGAAACATTCACTCTAGCTCCAGCAGACAAGAGTCCTTTGTCCCACCCTGGTCATTCCACAGATATATAAACCTTTTTTCCTAGTTCCAACAGACCTCACTACCTCTGAGGATGCTTGCCGTAGATGCAGGTGAAACGTCAGGAGAGAATGCCTCTAGAACATGGCCATATAGCCCAAAAAACCTACAACAACCCAGTGATTCTGGCCATGAAAGCCTTCAACAATAGTGTATAGTTGTAATTGTTTGTAGGTTCTTGTGGTTTTTTTCGGGCTATATGGCCATGTTCTAGAGGCATTTTCTCCTGACGTTTCGCCTGCATCTATGGCAAGCATCCTCAGAGGTAGTGAGGTCTGTGGAATGACTGGGGTGGGGCAAAGAGCTCTTGTGTGCTGGAGCTAGGTGTGAATGTTTCAACTGACCACCTTCATTAGCATTTGAAGGCCTGGCTGAGCCTGGGGGAATCTTTTGTTGAGAGGTGATTAGATGTCCTTGTTTGTTTCCTCTCTGTTGTTTTTAGAGGTAATTTTAGAGGTTTTTTAAAATACTGGTCACCAGATTTTGTTCATGTCAGTGGTTTCCTCCTTTCTGTTGAAATTGTCCACGTGCTAATCAAGGTGGTCAGTTGAAACATTCACAAGCATGTGGACAATTTCAACAGAAAGGAGGAGACCTTGAAAATGAACAAAATCTGGCTACCAGTATTAAAAAACTCTAAAATTACAACAGCAAAACAGCAGAGAGGAAACAACCAGGCACATCTTAACACCTCTCAACAAAAGATTTCCCCAGGCTCAGCCAGGCCTTCAAATGCTAACGAAGGTGGTCAGTTGAAACATTCACACCTAGCTCCAGCAGAGAAGAGCTCTTTGCCCCACCCCAGTCATTCCACAGATATATAAACCCATTTTCCTAATTCCAACAGACCTCACTACCTCTGAGGATGCTTGCCATAGATGCAGGCGAAACGTCAGGAGAGAATGCCTCTAGAACATGGCCCTATAGCCCGGAAAAAACCTACAACAACCCAGTGATTCCGGCCATGAAAGCCTTTGTCAATAATTTTATATTTGTTTAAACTGTTCGTCATTTTAATTATTGTATTTTTTTTCATGTTTTTTCCCAATTATAATCTGGCCCTCCAACAGTTTGAGGGACTGTGACCTGGCTCTCTGGTCTAAGGCCTGCTGGGTGAAAACTTAAGTCTACAGGTGTATTCAATGCCCTGCGCATGCGCATATGGGTGTGCAGTAGAAGAAGGAGGCGCTCTGGGATGCGGCTGCAATACCACTGCTAGGGCGCAGGTGGCGCTGTCATGCAACGGCGTTCTGAGAGCCGGAAGCGGAAGTAGGGTCGTGTGAGGGAGAAAGGAGGAGGAGGAAGAGGCCGATGGTGGACCTTTCTCGCCGCGGCCGTCGGCGGTGATGGCGGCCGTTCTGTCCCCGCGGGTATGTGACAGCGACCCGGCCACGCCTGGAACCCAGTCCCTCAAGGTGAGAGCCGTTTTCCCCTCAAAGCCTCGCCGAGAAGCGCTGAGGGAGGCGTCTGCATCCTGTGAGGCCTGCTACGGCCGCCATCTTGGATCCCCTCCAAGGCAGGGAAAAAGCTTTTTCCCTCAGGCCATTCTCATTAGATATTTTTAAGAATTAATATAGGAGTTGGCCATAACAAAACAACACCCTACAACAGGGAGAAATGCAAAATACTCCACTTAGACAGAAAAAAACCCAAACAGCACTCTATAACAGGGACAAAGGCAAAACACTTTGGCAGAAAAAAATGAAATGCTAAAATACAGAATGGGGGACAATGAGGCCTGGCTCGAGAGCAGTACGTGTGAAAAAGATCTTGGGGTCCTCGTGGACAACAAGTTAAACATGAGCCAACAATGTCATATGGCGGCAAAAAAAGCCAATGGGATTTTGGCCTGCATCAGTAGGAGCATAGTGTCTAGATCTAGGGAAGTCATGCTCTCCATGCTAAAGCCTGAAATCATCATTTGCTGTTGAGCCATGATGTTGTTTTCATGATGTTGTCTGATTATGATGTTTTGTTGATTTTTGGTTGTTGATTGTTAAATGGACGAACCCAGAGGGTCCTCACCAATGCTTCC